ATATTTGTTTTATGCATTCATTTGTACATCTACTTCAATTTTTAAGAAACAAGTATTTTTGTTTCTTAAGCAGTTTTKTACGCAGTCACATTACAGAAGCACACACCTGTAATTCCAGTGGCTTGGGTGCTGAAACAGGAGGATTGCAAATTCAAGACCAGCCTTGGCAATTTGGCAAGGCCCTAATCAGTGCAGTGAGACTTTGTTTCAAAGCAAAAAAGCAGACAGTTGTGGTGGTACAAACCTTTAATCCCAGAAATTTGGGCTGAGGAGGAAGATTATAAAYTCAAAGCCAGCCTCGGCAATTCAGTGGGGCCCTAAGCAATATAGTGAGATCCTGTCTCACAATAAAAAATAAAAAAGGGCTGGGGATGTGGCTCAGTGGTAAAGTGTCCCTGAGTTAAATCTCCAGTACAAAAAAAAAAAAAAAATCAAGCAACTCACAAAATTATCAGAGAGGCTAGAGGACTAGTGTCTGATTTATATAAAAAAAGAACAAGGTCTGAAACTACTATGCCATAGGGACAGGTATGCAGTCACTGGAAAGCACCATACTGCAAGTGTAACACTGCCTTTTATGCCAGGGATCTTGTACTTCTGAAATTGTATTGCCAGGCTAAGAATCCTATATGGGTCCTGGATTTTTACTTCTTTATTTTAAAATCCAAATCTAGCACAGGTTAACCAACAGGGTTCAACACACTTGCCTACAATTATGCTGCAATTGAGGGTGGAAAAGCAGGCATTTGAGTTCTTTTTATTGGATACCTACTGTTGGCTATAATCAGTTCTAGACATGTGATATCATAGGTAAAAACTGTCTTTGTAGAACTTACATTCTAAGCCCAGAGATGGGATAGTCAGACAATGAATACCACAAATAGAGAAAGGAAGTTCAGATTCGGGGCATTTWAAAAAAAAATGTTTTCTACATTTACATAGACAGCCTATGTGACCAGTTATGAATAAAGTGAAACTATTCTGTTAAGGAGAATTATACACTTATGGCTTTTAATACACATTGTTAAACTTTCCCTCAAAAAGTTTACACCAATTTGTACTCCCATTAATAATGTATTAGTAATTTCCTTCCACATGCTTTTCCCCAAAATTATTTTCCTCCTTCTCCTCCCATTCCCCCTCTTCTTTTTCCTTAGGTATCAGAGATTAAACTCAGGGATGCTTTACCACTGGGTTACATCCCCAGACATTTTTAATTTTTATTTTGAAATAAAATAGGGCCTAAATTACTGAGAGTGACCTGAACTTGCCATTCTCCTGCCTTTGCCTCTCATGTTGCTGGGATTACAGGCATAATGCCACCACACCCAGCTCCCCAAATTTCTTTTTAATCTCTGCAAATCAGATAAGAAAAAAAAATAACAACTTCTTACTTTTCATTTGGGTTTCACTGGTTCGTTTTTTGTTTTTTCTTGGGTACCAGGGATTGAACTCAGGGGCACTCAACCACTGAGCCACATCCCCAGCCCTATTTTATTTTATTTAGAGACAGGGTCTCATTGGGATGCTTAGCACCTCGATTTTACAGAAGCTGGCTTTGAATTTGCAATCCTCCTGTCTCAGTCTCCTGAGCTGCTGAGATTACAGGAGTGTGCCACTGTGCCCAGCTCACTGGTTCATTTTTTTCTTCAGCATTGGTTCATAGTATACATGTATTTCTTCTTTGTTAAATTGTGCTTATCCGTTGCTCATTCTTCAATGGGGATACTGCTCTTTATTTTTTATAGGACCTGTCTATCATACAGGTTGCAAATATTTTCCCATTTGTCATTTGCCTTATTTTGTGGAGTTTATAAATCAATTTTTAAGCTGGGTCCTGTGTTGGTGCACACCTATAATCTTAGGGGCTCAGAAGGTTGAGGCAGGAGGACTGCCAAATTCAAAGTCAGCTGCAGCAACTTAGTGAATCCCTGAGCAACTCATTGAGACTCTGTCTCAAAATAAATAATAAAAAGGGGGGCTGGGGTTGTGGCTCAGTGGTAGAACGCTCGCCTAGGCACTGGGTTCGATCCTCAGGACCACATAAATGTAAAATGAAAATTGTGTCCACCTAAAACTTAAGAATAAATATTTAAAATAAACAAATAAATAATAAAAAGAACTGGGGATGTGGCTCAGTAGTAACATGCTCCTGTGTTCAGTCTTCTGTTCTAGAAAGAAAAAATCAATTTTAAATTTTTTCAAGCTGATCTGCCAATATCTCTTTATAGTTTTTTTTTCCCCCAAACTCAGATTTTCTTTTTCCAACTCAGGATTTTGCAATAGTCATATATTCCTCTTTTTGTGGTTTAATTTTTCTTTATTTAACTGATCCATCCTAAGACTCAAATATCATTCTTCTCCAGTTATCCTAGGACCATTTGTTACACAAGTGAATGTTTTTCCATATTTGAAATACTTCCTTTTAAGTACAAAAAAGTTTTATATGCTTGGCTATTTATGTAGTTTGTTTCCCATCCTATAGTGATTTTTCTTTTGTATCAGGGCCACTAACTTAATTACTATAGTATTTCCTACCTTCATTCTTATCAAACATTTTCTAAATTGATTCTCCTTCTAAATCGATTTACAAAACAGAAATCTGTAACCCTATTTAAGCAGATTTTTCTATAAGTTCAGAGCAAAATGTATTAATATCAATTGTTAGGGAAAAGAACTATTTAAATTATTAAGGTTGTAAGAAGAACACAGCTTACATAGACATACCTTTTTTTCCCAAAATTTGGGGAAATTACAACTTTAAATGTTCCTAGTAGTAGCATTCAATTTTGTATGAATTTCAGTACTGTGGAAGATCTAGAACTAAGCAAGAGTGTACTGGCACCAATTAGGATTTAACATTTACTTTTTTTTGGTACTACTCTTACCTCCAGAGGTGTTTTCAGATACATTGTTTTTTAAAACCTGTTCATAGTAGAACAATAAGTAGTTTAGATGTATATCTGTGACTTCTAGGACATATGTTTGTTGATTTTAACATTGTTTGTGTTAATGAGGAGGAAAAGTATGATTGTTACACACAAATGTAGACTCATTTGATCAAAAAACAGCTTACTACTAAAATACTTCCAGATGCAGGGACTTTTAGCTCTTTGTGCGAAGGCTACTCTCAAACTATTGTTTAAGGATAAATACTTTTTCTCATGATATACTATCTTCTTTTTTGCTTCCTACCCTCTTTTCCTTTCACTTACAACTAGAAATGGTTTAACTGTTAATGATATCTGGAATTTAAAAAGTAGTACACTGTGGATCTAAATTTGTATTATATTATCCAGGGTGGTTCTAATAGCATCTCTGCTTATTGGATAAGAGCATGAAAGGAAGTATTTCAATTCAGGAACAAAAACTGAATTATTATATGAACGGAATTAATACTATCAATTACACAATTTTCAAGATTAAACTAAGAAGTAAAAATTTACGCATGTCATTATGGGCCTCAAAGCATTCTACATTGATATGAGACATTTCATTCATGAGTTTAAAGCAAATCTATATAAGATTAAGTGAAATTTTTTTACTTATTACAAATAGCAGATGAAATTTGACACCTCTACAAGTGTCTCAAGTGGCAGAACTCAACCAAAACACTTCTTGTGCAACAGCCATCATTACATCTTGACTATTTTTTCATCAAAAACAAATAGTGGAGGCCTGCAATCCCAGTGGCTCAGGAGGCTGAGGCATGAGGATTACGGGTTGAAAGCCAGCCTCAGCAACTTAGCAAGACCTTGTCTTAAAATAAAATAAAATAAAATAAAATGGGCTGGAAATGTGGTTCAGTGGTTAAGTGACCCGGGTTCAATTCCTAGTACCAAAAACAAAAAAAGATGAAAATATTAAACAGTATGGCATAATCAATTAATATTAGCGTATTAAATATAGTCTGGGTATTTTCATAATCTGCAGTCCTTGAGGTCAAAAGGCCATTAAAGTGACTTATTCCCATTGTGTCTCTGTCCTTATTTATAAAATGAAGATATTAATTACTTTACAGGGTTGTAGTGAGGATCATGTAAGATAAGGGACATAAAAGTTCCTAGCACCATGCCAGATATAGTAGACACTCAAAGATTAATTCTAATTTTTCTGATACTACACTAAAGTAAGAATAAACACACAAACAATAAAAACCCACTTGGATGTGAGAATTATTAACATGCATAGCATGTACTTTATTTCAGTGCTCCTCAGTCATGTTACAGGTCTGTCACATAATAGTATTCAGTCAGTCAGAAAATGTAGATTCTATTTTCAGCAGAGCTTCCAGATGGCTTTATTTTTGATCTGTAATCTAACAGGATGGCATATATTCCTGAATTGTTTTCCAGTTTTACAATTCTTGCTATAATTCTAGATTATAGAAACAAAACACACACACACACACACACACACACACACACACATTCCAACCTCCATGGTAATAAGAATTTTCAACCATAATACTTTAGCATATTGTTGCTAATAAAGTCTATTTTGAAAATCCAGAACAAAATATAAATATTTGTAATTACCCCTTGGCAAAGAAACGCCGCCAAAATAACCTAGAAATATTTAGCTGCTTCAGCGATTTCTATATTTTATTTCGAAACGCACCGTGGAAATCGGAAACATAAAACAATACAGAACGGCGCCCACGGTCTTTTCAATTCTGCGCGGGTATTTAAAGGTAACTAATCTYGCTGTAACTGTATTGGACAAACCGGGGGTTACTGGACAGCTGGGGGAGGGGAGGGAGGGCGTGGACCGGGGTTTGAAGGTTTTAGCAGTGGAGGCTTTGGCGGGCMGGCGTCGCGCCTGGCGCGGCTGGGAGGGCGGCGGGAGGCGGAGTGGGGCGGGCGCGGGGGCGCCTGGCCCTGGCCCGGGACGCACCCGACCTAGGGAGCGGGTGTGGGCGGGCGCTCAGCGCCCCTTTGGCCCAAGAGGCCGTGCGGGCTCCCTGCGCGAGTCCGCCCCGTCCCGCCTCTTCCCCTTACCACGTAGCCCCCCCACACGTAGAGGAAGTTTCCGTCCACCACCGCGCAGTGGCCGCTGCGCTCCTCGGCCACGCAGAACAGCTGCGAGTCCGCCATCCACGCCGTCGCTGGCCCACTACTCGGCGTGCCGCAGCCCCTGCCCACCGCGCTGCCTCTCCTCGGGTCCGGATTGCTGCACGCACGAACGGAACGCGTCGAGGGTCGAGATTGGTGGGAAGGCGAACCAGTGCGTCTGCGCCGTCCCGCAGCGGACTCGCTCACGAGGCGGCGCCAAGGGTGGAGTGGCCAGTGAGGGATGCCTTGGTTCTTAGCAGTGAGGAAGAGGCCTTAGCTTCCCCGGAGAAGGAACAGGCAGATTTCTTTCCTCTTGAGGTGTTTTGGCAATTCAGTCTCATCCAGCTTCCATTTCATAGTCAGATTCCTTGATTTTTCTCAAAATGTCTTTGTGCAATTGGTTGTAGCAGGTTATATTTGGTCGTTGTGTCTCAAGATTTTTTACGATATCTTTGTTAATCTTGAACAGTTACTATCTCTTCTCTCTTGTGGCACTTATTTGTGAAATGGGTTAGTTTTCCTATACCTAAGTGTGGTTTCTCATTAACGTGTGCTTTCGTCCTGCTTATTTTTCTTAGACTGGAAGGTTGATCTAAAAGCTTTAGCGTCTGGGTCTGTTTTTTTTTTTTTCCAAGAACACTTCATGCTGCATCACAGTAGAAGGCTTAGTGATACTTTCCATTATTTTATTTAGCAATAGAAGTAAACATGCGCAGAGACGCAAGTATTTCCCCTTTTTCTTACACAGAAGGAAGCATACTCTATACACAACTCGGTAACCTGTTCTCCATTAAACGTTATATTGTTCCATATCCGTGTATTGTGATCTTCCCTAATCCTTTTGATTGTTTCATAGCACTATTTTGAGTGGCTGTGTCATGATTTTTTCAATCAAGTCCTTATTGATGGACGTCATTTATTCCCAGTTTTTTGTTATCACAAATAATTTTGCCTGAAGAACGTTATGCACATGTTTTTTTGTAGTTTTACAAATATGTTTTTGGAATAGAGTTCTGGAAGCGGAATTGCTGGGTCAGAGGATAAAAGCATATATGATTTTGCTAGATGTTGCTGAAGTAGCCTCATAGGAATTATACTTTCACCAGCAATATATGAGAGTGACTGTTTCTCATAACCTTCCCAACAAAGTGTATTGCTAAAATTGTGGCGCTTTGCTAAAATGATATGCTAGAAGTAGTAGCTCAGTGAAGCCCTTGGATTTTCAGCTTTATGCGAGGACTTTTCTGTTAGATTTCATACCTTGAATAACTCTTCAATTTGTTTCCTATTGTCCGTACTCCTTGAGGGAGTATAATATAAATGAATGCAGTTTCAGCATTTGTGTCTGTGATATTAAGGGAAATGTCAGTTTTTATACGTTGCTTACCTTCTGATTTCCCTTTTTTTAAAATTAAAAAAAAAAATTTTCTAGTTGTAGATGGACAGCATGCCATTATTTTGTTTATTTTTATGTGGTGCTGAGGATGGAACCCAGTGCCTCACACATGCAAGGCAAGCGCTCTGCCACTGAGCTACAGTCCGAGCCCCTCCCATTTTTAATAAGATTTTTGTTCCTTTTCTTTTTCARGGTAATCTTTTGTTAGCCTATTGATTGTATGTGTGTGTGTGTGTGTGTGTGTGTGTGTGTGTGTGTGTTTTACTGGTGACTGAATCCAAAGGTCCTGAACTACTGAGCCACACTTCTAGCACCCCTCTTTTTTTAGGAACTAGGGATTGAGCCCAGGACGGGTAACCATTGAGCCATGTCACCATCCATTTTTATTTTTATTTTTTTGAGACAGGGTCTTACTAAGTTGTTTAGGGCCTCCCTAAGTTGATGAARCTGGCTTTGAATTTACGATGCTCCTGCCTTAGCCTCCTGAGCCACTGGGAAGACAAGTGAGCACCACTGCACCTGGCACGCTAGCCCTTTTTACTTTATTTGAGACAAGGTCTTGCTAAGTTGTTTAGGTTCCCCTGAAACTTTTGACTTTCCTGCCTTAGCCACCTGAGTTACTGGGATTATAGGCACATGGCACTACAGCTGACTCAGTTGATGCTTTTTTAACATTTATTTTTATGTTTGATTAAAAATAGTACATTTTTTAAGAATGGGGATTAATTCAGGATATCTAGTCTGGCCATATTGCTAGAAATAGAAGTCCAAGTATCATTTTAAATATAAAATTTTCTTTTTTTTTTAAAGTTTATTTCAGAGTATCTTCACTTAGATATCTAATTCATTCTTCAATTCTCAATTTAAACATCATTAGAGATCTTCATTATGTAGGTTAGGTCCACCTGTTACATCCTCCCATAGAACCCTAAACTTCATAGCACACTTCTCTACCTATAATTATATATGTTATATTCCCCAATGTATTATAAGCTGCCCGAGAGAAGAGATTTTCTGTTTCATGTTCAGTGATATATCTTTAGCAAAAACACAGTGCTTATTCATTATTAGGTGCTTACTAAGTCCCTTGGACTAGATATATTCTGGCTTACCAGAGTAGTGTAATGCCAGATTCAATTCGGGGGACCCCAATAGACATCCAGGAGCCGAATCTGATGCAATCACACAATAGTCTTTATTGCAAGCTCAAGCCTGGACTCACTCACTACTGTTCCCGGTGCATCCGTCCCAGGGAGTGAGACCTGGTCCTTTGTTCAGTGAGGATTTATAGGTTTTTTTGGTATACTCTATGCCTCACAGCATCACACAGCAAATCATTTCACACCGAGGGAAAATCAAACAACAACTCTTAACATTGATTAGCACATTCACTGGTGGGAACAAGTTGGGTAGAGGTGATTGGTTAGTACAGAGGGGGATTCATTTGAACTAATTGGTTTAAGCCTCGAGGGGTGTATGTGCTAAACTACATGGTTTCCCAACATGTTAACCATCATAAACTAGTGGGGGGTCATCTGGCATCCCAGGTATTTTCTCTGTCTCATGCTGATTGGTGGTTGCTAGGGGRTTGCTATGGGTCCTCACCTAGCCTGAGTCACTTCTTCTGTTATTTGCAGACAAACAACTCAGCAGGGTGGCTATCTGCCTAGGTTTTTCCAAGGACAAGGGTCACACCCCCTTCCTTGGACAGGCTTTGATCTGAGGCAGAGGCTGGTTTCTCAAAAATAGAGTCATATCAGTTTCTCAGAAGAAATTTTGAACCAAAGGTTATAACACTGTAGATGAAAATAGTAGCTGGTTATAAGAATGTGGAGGATCAGCATCTACAGGCTATCGATAGAGCAGCATCTCTTACCCTGATGTATGGACTTTGAAACTCCATAGAGAGGCTTCAGAACCAGTAAATAAAGTGTGTGTGTATGTGTGTGTGTGTGTGTGTGTGTGTGTGTGTGTGTTTAAAGATTCATAGCTTTTATCTAGCTTTCAGAGAGGAGATCTATGGCTTTCATTAGCTCTGTCTTCTAGAGCAAGAGAGTGGATGAAGTCAGGGTATTTTTGGTTTTTCAATTTGGTCCCTGGTGGGTAGCAGTGCTATTCTTAGCATACATAAAATACTGGCTTTAGTTTTGGAATGTATACGTGGAAATGTCTACCCGGTAGATAGGTATGTTGGTCTGGAGCTTTTTAGCAGTTTTGCTTAGAGATGGAGATGTTGGGTTTATCATTGTACAGACAAGTTTGTGGGAGCTGTGAACATGGATAAGATTTCCCAAAGAGTATGTTGAGTGAGATGACTGGGAATTCCAACATTTCAGTGGAAGAAAGAAGAAAAGAAGATGAGAAGAATCAACCACAGTGATGGACAGTCAGGAAAATATAGTACTATTGAAATGAGGAAAGAGACTGTTGTAATAAGATCAAGAGGGTCAGCAACCTTGCAGAGATCAAATAAGATGAGAACTGAGAATTTACCATTAATTTCACAAGTGAAAGGTAATTGATGAAACCACAATGAGATACCTGTATACTTTTATTAGAATGACTAAAAAGATTGACAACACCAAATATGGGTGAGGATACAGAACAACTAGAACTCTCATACACTGCTAATGGAGTAAAAATGAGAAAATGTTTGAGTTTCTTAAAGTATATAACTAAATATTATAAGGTAAAAATATATGTATAATTTGTCATATGTACTCCATGACCCAGATATTTTACTACTACAATTTACTCAAGAAAATTTAGGGCTGTGGTTGTGACTCAGTGGTTGATGCTTGTCTAGCATATGTCAGGCACTGGGTTTGATTCTCAGGACCACATAAAAAAATAAACAAAGATATTGTGTCTATCTATAGCTAAAAATATTTTTAAAAAAGAAAATTAAAATCATATGTATCCACAAAATGACTTATACAAATAATAGCCCCAAAGTGGAAAGACCCTATATTTTCATTGTTTAGGTGAATAGATAAACAAATTGTATATATTTATACAATGTTATGCAGCTCAAAAATAAAAAGGAAGAAAATCTACTGAAACATGCATGTAATAACAGGGAGGAACTAATACAACTAATATATATTAAGTTAGTGAAAGAAACCAGACACAAAAGACTATTTGCTATGTGACTTATATGAAATCTAAAATACATAAAACTAGTCTAAAGTAATAGCAGAAAAGTGGTTATTTGGGGATACAGACTTTAAATTGATAGAAAAGACTACAAGGGACATTCTGGAGGGATGTTCTATATCTTGATTGAGATGGTAATAGTTACATAGATGTATATTTTTATCAAAATGATTGAATTTGATACTTCAGATTTGTACATTTTTCTTAATATCAACTATAACTCAGATAGATACAATCACACATATATATGTAACATGTATATATATCTCCTCATTCCATCATTTATTGTTACTAGTAATATTGGTATTGCATTCTTGTTTCTTAAGAAGCAGGGTCTTGCTTATGTTACACAGGCTGATGGTGAACCCCTGGGCCCAAGCAATCCTCCTGTGTCAGCCTCCTAAGTAGCTAGGACTATTATGAGAATCCACTTCAGAAAATACTCTATGTCYGAATTCAAATCAAACRGAGCTTTATTTACCTGGCCAGGGACTGTCGCCCACCCGTAGAGACTGAGCTCTATGGGAGAACAGCCATTTCCTGGCTTGGAAATTTAAGGACAAAAACCACAGCTCAGGGACTTTCCTTAGCATCATTCAAGCAAGTCAATCATAGAATTTTAAAG